GGACCGGGCGGGACTGCCCGGGCGCGGGAAGGGCCGAGGAGGGGGGGGGGGAGGGGGTGGGAGCCGAGGCCTCAAGGAGCGGGAGGGGATGTTTCGGGTGTATTCGGGAAGGGAAGGGGAAGGGGGGTGTGGGTGCCTGGCGCGGTTATCAGAGTCCAGAGGGGCAGTGAGGTCCTTCGGGTGTTTCGGTGCAGAAAATGGGACTAGAGTTGGGAAGGGGCATTTTGAGGCAAGAAAGGAGGCTTCTGAGTGCAGTAGTGGGTCCAGATCAGCCCCATGTGCCATTAGGTTCTTTCCCTTTCCTTCCACGCACCCTCAGGTTTCCTCCATTTCCCCACAGATCACCTTTATTCCTGTCTATCCACTCTTCTTCCATGTTCATTCTTTTCCATGCATGTCAGGTCCTCCCATTTCCATCTGCCAACCTCTGCTGTCCAACCTCCCCCAGCCAGTACTGAAGACACCTAAATGTGTATGCTGATCATCTTCCCCTTCTCACCAGAGGCCAAGAGCTTTGCATCTCCAGTTTGAGACTTATGTTTTCCATGCCACCCTAAGTTGACAGTCCTGGTTGATGCTCAGTTCCAGGGAAAGAAGCTCTGGAGACATTTGCTGTACACCTCAATTCCTCCATGAAGCCCCTTGTATGCTGCTAGGGACAAAGTCCTTCCAAGCTATAGGTGCATGATGACATATTCCAAGATGGTTTGTGGTATATGTCTGGACACTCCATCATGGCCTCTTAACTCTTCCTTCTTCAGAGCCAGAAGCTAGTAGTCTTGGATATAGCCTATGTCCTTGAGGACCTCCCATGCCACCTCAGGTGTCCATGCGCAGCTGTTCACAGAGCTTGCAGTTTTTGGAAGTGCAAAATGTTTTTTCAATGCCTGTCTCCTTGCTTTCAGTGAGGCATTGCCTCTGCTCAGCCTCATTCACGTGTTCCGTGGGCTAGCATGCCCCTAATTTTGTGAGACACCCCCCCCCACACACATTTTAACCTTGCTCACATCTGCTGGCCTAAGAAAGGCACCAGCTGCATGATTCAACTTTGTAGTCATCCACAATCCTTTCTGTATCTTCAGCTGGCACTTGCTTTTTTGGTTACAAGTAATTTCTTCTGCATCTGTCCAGAACTAGGGGAATTTCTGAGACCCCCATTCAAGCACTGTGTCCTTGGGATCTGTTTTGCCTAATCCTACCATAACCCAACCCATCCCAACAGAGCAGAAGCAAGGGAGGTTAGTGGCTCCCTGCATTCAGACATATCTGAGGTGATGGGAGTCAGAGTTGGGGGGGGGTCACACACTTTACCTTGACCCCTGCTTTGCCCAGACTAGCTGATGCTTCTTCCTTTTCCAGTGCCCAGGAGTGAGCTCACCCCTACCAAGGACAAGCTTACGGTGCCTTGTAAGATGACCATGGTATCCTTTGCTGCACGCGCCTCTTTGTCCTTAGTTCAATATGCATTTCACTTCCAAAAACTGAACCTGTCTGATCAGACAGGAAGCAGCAACTCCAGCACAAACTGTTTCCACTCCTCTTCCTGCTCAGCAAAGCCCACCAAGGTAACTTACTGAAGGCAACTTTCTCTCTCCTGGCAATGTCATGAAGACTAAGGGCAATGATGTAGTGATACAAGACTTACAGTGGGATGCAGGGGGCGGGAGGGAGTGATGGTGCATTTGGGGATGGCGCACAGCACAACCTAGGGATTGTATGAAACTTCATACGGGATGTTTAGGGAAATAGATGTAGGGAGGGATGAGGGGAGGAACAAGCACTGGAAAACAGAAAGAAAAGGGTCCAATGGCATGTAAGCAGTGCCAGGTATCCTTGCCTGCCTGAGCAACTGCAGTCTGTCCTATACCCTTATTAAATTGTATTTCCAATATTAAATCATATTGGTGCAACTGTTCTCCCCATTCCAAACCTGTGGTTTTGACCAGTTGGTGAACCTCAGACTGGACCAGCTGCTGAGTAGCTGATGGCCAGTATGGCAAAGCTGGGACCCAAGGGCCTGGGAGCTGGCCACAAAAGACCTATGCTCAGAGTCTAAGTGTACCCACACACGTGTGGCTGGTTGGCCTTCTCCCAGGTGGACCAGCCAGTGCATGGAACAGGAAAGAAGACCCTGGGCAAGGTTACCCCAGGTGTTTCTCTGGAAACCATAGATGGGCCATGCCCTGGTTCCTACAGTTCACCAGACTCAGCAACCTCTAAGGTAAAGACCCTTCAAACTATGGCTTAAATCGATAGTCTGCTGCCTGAGTCAATTGCCATGTCCTGATTTTTTTAATGCCTGTGGGTAAGCCTACAATTGGAATCTCTATTTTAGAGGTCTGTACACACAACACGCCACAACATACAACATGTGTGGCCACCATTACTGTGGCTATCCATGGGTCCCTGTGGCCACCTGCGGTTCCTGAGGCCACCAGTGAGGTCCCCGTGGCAAGCTTTGGGCCCCCGTGGCCAGCAGCAAGCTCCCTGTGGCCACCAGTGAGGTCTCCGTGGCCACTAGTGAGGTCCCAGGGGGCAGAAGCGAGGTCCCCCGGCCACCAGTGATGTCCTCCTGGCCACCAGTAAGATCCCTGTGGCCACCAGTAAGGTACCTGCAGTACCAGGGTTTGCGCTGTACTGCGCATGCGCCCCCCACCTCCTCGCCCCGAGTACCGCCTTCTGCTCGCAAGGACACAGCAGCGACCGCGGTAACGCCGTGTACTGGGGGCACTGGTTGTCCCAGTTCGAGAATTTGGACCAAAAGCCGGCCCTGCAGCAGGGGAGACACCGGCCGCCCCTCGGCCCCGGCCCTCACAGGCCCCACCTCTCGAGCCGCCTCGGCCCGCCGCCCCCGGCCGGGGTGTCGTCACCATGGCAACCGCTCCGGGGGGATAGACAGGAGGGTGGGCCAAAACACAGCGCGGGCGCCGCGCTCCGATTGGTTGGACGCTCGCCGAGGTGGGACGCGGTGGGGATTAACGGCGCGACGGACCAAGGGAGCGGGGCTTCCAAGGGCGGGGGCGGGCACCGGACCGCGACCAATGGGCGTGCAGCGCGGGCGGGCAGAGGCGCTCCGGAAACGGAGGGCGCCGGGGGAAGATGGCGGCCGGCACGAAATGACAGCGGAGCGGCACGGCCTTGGCGGAAAGCACGGCCTTGGCGGACGGCTGCTCAGCCGGGCCAGGCCCGCGGTGCCGCCGTGAACGCGTCGTGATGAGGCAGCTGGACTGCCTCGACGTGAGCAGGGGCGGGGAACGCGGCCGGCAGCAGTGGGGGCGCCTGATGGGGCTCCGAAGGGAGACGGCGGAAGGGGGAGGGGGGACCCTGTGTGGGAGCGGGGGAAAGGGGGAGCTGAGGGGGGTGTTGTAGGGTCGGAGCGGGGCGGCTGGGCCCGGCTCATCGTGCGCTGCCTTCGGCCTGGGGGGGCTTTGGGGTGCGGTGCTGGCGTTGCCGGAGAAAAAAGGCCGGAACGGCGGTAAGAAAGCGGTGCCCGGGCCGTGCCGCTGCCGCCCCGCAGAGACCCGGGCCCGCTCTCTCCGCAGCGCTCCCCGAGGCTGCCGTGCCGGTCCCTCTGCAGTTGCCCAGCGCTCCCCTAAACTGTCCGTGGGGCCCTGGGGATGCCGGGCTGTGAGGTGGCTGCGCTCCCCCTGCCCCTGGGCATGGCCCGGGGAGGATGCAGAGGCAGTGGGGAAGTGGGGAGTGGGGTGAGCTGCTTTGGGGCCCGACACGGAGACCAGGTCCATAGCCTCGTGCTTTGGGGCTCAGAGAGAGAGGGAGTCGTGTGGCTTTGTGCTCAGGAGCGGGGGTGGAGTCTGGCGTTTTGGGGATTTGACCAGAGGCTCAGCAGCTGGGTTTTGGGGCTCAGAAAGGGGCACGGTTTGGGGGCCAAGAGCGGAAGCCATTTTGGCTGGTTTTGCAGAGGGGGGCAGGAGGGTGTTGGGGGCTGCGGGGGAAAGCAGGGGCTGGGTGGGCTGTGGGGAGGCTCCCCGGAGGTGGAGGTTCTGGCCACGTCGGACCCTGAAGTTTGGCAGGCCGGCACACACCCACCTGAACTCAACATCTGAGGTGGTCTGTGGGGGGAAGAGGCGCTCTTCAGACCCCGCACACCCTCTTTGAGTCCAGCTCTTCTCTGTGCTATCACTTAGGATAGGTATTCAGTAATTAGTCATACAAACCAGTTAATGTTTATACCACGTACATCTGTGATGTTTAATCATCATGTTCAAGTTCTTATAGTGATTGACTGACGCTCTGGTTGAAAGGCCAGAGCGGTGCAAACAGCCGGCGCTTGCGGAGAGAAGGAGCTGCAATGGAGCCGTGCAGAGTGGGGGCTTGCATTAGCCAGAGCTGCAGCAAGCAGGAGGTGCAGCGAGATGGGGTGCCCGCTGCCTGGAGCGTGCGTTAGCCAGAGGCAAGGCTGCCGGCAGTGGTAGGGAGTGGGACCTGCCATCAATTGGAGCGTTTGTTGGCTGGCTGTGACAAACAGGTCATTTCTATCCTCTTCTTTTCCCAGGGTCACCTTCTGTGGGGCGGGAAGAAAGTCCTGCAGGGTTGATTCCACTTGCTGCTCAGGTAACTGCACGCATGGGGCTGGGGAGGGGGCCGGGAGAAATGTTTGCGAGTTCAGGGATGCTACAGATGCTCCGTGTCCAACCTGCGGAAAATGCCAATTTGCTGCCAGTGGGGAAAAGCTGATGAGGAATTGCAGTTAATAGAGCGTGCCTCCTACCAGAATTGTTAGGTAGTTAGGAATGTCTTCCTTTGGGCTAAAAGAGCAAACTTTCACCTAGGATAAACTAAGAGTTGCCTGTTACCTTCTTTGAACTCAAGTGTTTCTCTTCTGTTTGTTCATACTAATTTTATGGGCAACCTGGAAACAGCCTTTGCTTTTTGATTCATAACTCAATTTTTATTAGTATGTGGTGTCAGTGCAGTTGATTTTGGAGGGTCTCTTAAGGATGCGATCAGAGTGAAAGCCAAATTTCACTGAATGTTGCTGCTGTTGGGCTTCACTTTTGTTAATGTTCCCATAGCTCCCTTGTGGGTGGGAGCTCTGAATCATGGGGTGTTTTTTCAGCCTCTAACATTTTTTTTTTCCCCAAGGAGAGGTTACATTTACAAATTAGTTTCCTCCCAGACATACCAGTGACTGCCATCGAGTTACAATTATTAAAAGCACAAAATCAACACGCTCTTAGAGATTGGGACTGTTTCTAGTCACGCGTTAATCCTGTGCAGGTGTCCTCAGGATACAGATTGTCTGTGCTTCCTGCTTTGACAAGATAGTGTGCCAAGACAGGGATGAGCTCCTGAAGACAAAAAAGAGGCCAGGTGCTAGGTTTTTTGTCTCTCTGTTTTGTGGGGGTGGGGGTATGTGGTTTACAAAACATGGCATGAGGTTGACTGCAGGTGGCAGCCTCCAGAGCTCTGCTGCTGCCTGACCTCACCTTTTCTTTTTCGATCCTCTTCCATGGCATCTGTGCTAAAAGCAGTTGAGGTCAAAGAAGAGACATGGACAAAACGGGACAAACTGATGCTGCTTTTGTGTGTTTTTCAGGCTTTGTCATGAAAAAAGGAGCATCAGCAGCCTTGTCACTTGTGACAGTGAGTCCTGACATGGTTTTGGTGAGTCGTGGCTTCCAAGAATGTCCATTGTCTGTAACCTACAGTGTGACATTTGGATGTCAGTCGGAAAGAAATTTTCCAAAACACCCCAACACACCCCGCATCTCAACACACATGAACATGCCACAACACACATGCCACAACACGTCTCAACATGCAACATGCCTCAACACGTTACAACATGAAGCAAATGCAACATGCAACATGCCTTACCATGATGCAACATGCCTCAACACAAAACATGCCTCAACACAAAACGCGCATCAACATGCCTTAACACAACAACATGCAACACACTGGAATATGCTGTAGCATACCTCATCATGCCCCAACATACCTCATAATGCTGTAATACGCCTCAACACGCTGTAACATGACATAACACGCCCCAACACAAAACATGCCTCAATGAAACATGCCTCAACACGCAACATGCTTCAGCATGTCTCAACATGCCACAGCACAGCTCAACATGCAATATGCCTCAACATGCACCAAATTGCAACACAGCCTTTCACTCTGTAACTTGTCTCAGCCTGCATTAACATACTGTAACATTCCTCAACACAAAACACTCCTCAGCATATTACAACACTCTTAAATGCACAAGACGCCTCAACATGCTTCATCACATGACAACATGCAACGCGCCAGAATATGCCATAACAAGCCTCAACACGTGACACACCTCATCATGCCAGATAGGTCCCCGTGGCCACCAGCGATGTCCCTGTGGCCTGCTGTGGGTCCTAGAGGCCATCAGAGAGGTCACTGTGGCCAGCCGTTGGTCCCCATGGCCACCGGCAGTTCCCCTTGGCCACCAGTGATGTCTGTGCAGCCACCTATGGCCACACGTGAGGTCCCCTTGGCCAACTGTGTAAGAAAAATTAAGATACTGTTTTTGCAAAGAAACAGCTTGGCCAGTTTTTGCAGAAGAACGACGTGGTTGGTCTGCAATGAGGGAATGATTAACACCACAAAGGTTTCCCAGGGACATGCAAGAATGCCCACCCCTTAGACAAAGGAGAAACCAGTCAATACCTGAACGGCAGTTTCACAGGAGGAGGAACGTTTTGCTGAGACTGGCAAATTTGAGTAATAGTACCAAAGAAGGGAATAAATATATCACTGTGCCTGTATCAATTACTTCACTGATTAGGAGAAGTAAGCAGGGGAGGGACAAAGGGAAGTAGTCTTAGGCTGCTGGGCTATGCCCTTTGGAGTACCCAGGTGACAGGGAAATGGGAGGGAATTTTCAGCTGGGAATAGGGAATAAAAGCAAAACACGCCAAAACCCGGCGTGCCTGCTTGCTGTATCACCTGTTCTTGCAAGAATGTTTCAATAAAATGTGCTTCGTATTGATTACTGCCTGAGCCGTTGTTATTGGGCAAGGAGTGCTTCTCACAAATTTGGGAGCTCGTCTGGGATCCAAAATCACCCATTCACACCACCCCGGGTATTGCCTTGGTAGTTGGGAGCATTCTGAGAGACTGTGTGTGTGAGTGACTGAGATGTACAGGGGTATAAAGCAGTGCAGAGTCTGGATCTGCGGTTCTGTAGTCCCATGAAGGGTGCAGCTGGAGAAGGACGAAGCAAAAGGAAGGAGTGTGAGTAAAGTCTTTGTTCAGAATGGGGAAAAATAATTCTAGGCCTAGTGAAAAAGAGGGTAATAAGAAAGACCCCAGGAGTGTTCCCCCAGACAGTCCTTTGGGGGGGGTGATGTTGAGATTTTGGAGTGATTCTTCTTGTACAAGGGATAAAGATAAAAACAAAATGATTCGTTATTGTCGTTGTTTGGACCAAAGAACCTGTAGGACTTCCTAGTGTATTTTGGCCTAACTTTGAATCTGATGAGGATTGGGGTTTGTGGTTTGCCAGACTTTAAGCATGTATGCAAATAATAATGAACCACCTTCATTAGAAGAAAGTGAATATGCTTTTTGTTGGGTTAGGATGAGTAGATGTAGGGCTTGGTCCAAATGCGTTTTATATGTTCCCAGTCCAGACTGTTAGTAACATCTTAACCGATAAAGAAGTTGAAACCCCCAAATGGGACCACTTAGATTGTTTATCCCCTCCCTATAATCCCACTGAAGAAGAAAGTGCCAGCACCACCACTCCCCCTCCAACTGCCAGCGCTACCCCTGCCATTCCCCCTTCTCCTCACCAGTACTCCAGATTACAAAAAGAGATAGAACAGTGCCGCCGGGATGTAGAAAAACTCCTCTCCAAGAAAAGGACAGGCAG